TCTATCTTACACCACATTTCTCGTGACGTGACGTCACAAAGGCTCAACAATGAGGTGACGTCAAGAATTTGGAACTCTCCGATGCCGCAATGCGGAAAAAGGCGACGTGATGAAATTAAAGCCTTATACAATATAATCATCATACACGTTAGAAAGATGTTATTATTTTTTCTGTGCAAACATTGTTTGTAAATATGGGATACGCAAAATCTGGCTGGCTAATTCATTTTCGTCTGAAAAGCTCAGGGAAACTTATATTTGCAAAATGGTGGCCTGTCCAAACGCATTTTCATGGTTTCTGAGCTTATTCTGGTGGGTGGAATGAGAGAAAAATACTCTTTCATGCCCAAGGGTGAAGGATAGGGGAATTCCACCCTCGGGATTTTCAAATATGGCAAATCATCGGCAAAGCCTCGGGTTTTACGTAATTTGAAAACCCCTCAGGTGGAATTTCCCTATCCTACACCCCTGTGCATGAAAGACTCTTATAATCTTCGTGACTTCTTTTTATTATTATTAAAAAACATATAATACTGATGTTAAAATGTAATAAATTGGATTTTTCAAAGTGTTTTAATTGTCAAAGCATTTTAGGAAAGGTTTCTAAAAACTTGTTGATAAAGTAAACTTATGTTTCCTCAACAACACATCAGTTTTCAATCAATATATATACTTAAATCGTTTCATTATATGACCTCTTACAACAAATTATATTACCGATGCACGAGACAAATATATAAATCAATTTTCGTATTATTTGGAATGAAAACTGTTGATCGTGCATCATAAACATGACTGCTTCCGCCTTATCATTCTATGTGCAGAAGGCGATACGAAGGTTCATTATCGAAGAGGACACTGTCGTAGTTGCATGCATCCTAAGGGATCACAAATTGTATCCTCAAACAAAAGGATATCCCAAAGCAAGAACCATTTTGAAACTGAAGCATGGATCGTATTGCAGTCGAGAGGGATGGCGTGCGGCTGGAGAGATGTCTGCTCGCATGTGGCATATGCTGAGTGGTAACCTATTATGTGAAGTGTCAGCACGGTAGCAGTGTTGTGGTTTTATGTAAACACGCATAATATCTGCCTAGTTTCCGTCCAATTTTCCTGTAAGTCTGGACAATGTACTTACCAAACAATGCTTTTCATTGTTCTCCTACCTCAATTGCGAGCTTGATCACAATGATATCTACTCCATCGGAGGAAGTCGTTTACGTCCTGCTTTGGTAACATATTAACAGCGACAATGCAATTGCGCCCGAATTAGCTTCATAATTAATTCCTTGTTGTATGTATTCATCAAGTTAATTTAAAACAGGGCTATACATAATAGAACACTGTATGCTCTTTTGTAAATGCAATAAATTCTTATATTATTGTTTTTATCTAAACAACTCTTCGGCAATTTTAAAAGGATACGACATTGTGTCCAAAACATAAGGGATGCCATTCCATGGTATACGTATGCAACATATTTTGTATGCGATTTATTATCTTTTTGACTTCTAGCTAGCTTTATACTTGGTCGCTGAGTTTGTCGTTGTTTTATGTATTACTACCATACCAGATCGCTTTGTGTAATTATTACCACTACACTAGACGCTTTGTTGATTATTACCACTGTACTCGGTCGCTAGATGTAAATTCTATCATTATACTTAGTCGTGTCGTTTATTTACTACCGCCATATTAGACAACTTTGTTTACTAACTACGTCATACTAGGTCGCTGTGTTTATCTGGTCTTTGTTTTTTATTGTTACCACCATATCGGGACGCTGCTTTTAATTATTATCACCAAACCAGATTGTTTTTTAATTATTACTGTCATGCCATGTCGATGGATTTAAATGTAATGATCATACTCGGTCAGCTGTGTTTAATTGCTACTTCCATTAAAGATCGTTCCCGATCTGTCTAATTTCTGTCACCATACTTACTACCATTCTACTACTTGGTCGCTCTGTTAAATTAATTCCACTTTACAAGGTATATGTATTTATTCGCTGCTACAATGCTTTGTCGCGTGTTTTTTTATTGACAATATGTGTCCGAGGCAACATAAAGTTCGGATTCAGTCTTTGGAAATGACTCTATCAAATTCCAAATACTGCTTCGATATTTTTTTAATCAAATTGTTATTGGATTTTGGCACAATTCTTGCCTTACTCGTGTTCCACGTCTTATCTGATATATTTTCGACATCTTTCAACATTTTAATTTACAGCATCGATGGTGTGATTTCGTGAATATATATATGTCTATATTTGCAGTCGTAAATAAACTATGAAGATAGAATACTTTATCGTTTAAACCATCAGCATCATAACAAAGTTTACTTTTTATCTATAAGATATATATAACAATATCATTGAGAATACAAGAGAACAATGGACGAAGGCTATGCATAAAGAAATCTATTAATGATGCCTTATCCTTTGTAGGAAATGCATTATACATTGTCATTATTTGGCAGATAAAATAATAATAATATTAGCTAAAACTTGAACTATACTGGCGTAGAGCCCGCATGAACATTAACTTACAACTATACATTGGAACCATGCCTCATACATATATAGATTAAATCAATTAAAACAATTTTGTGATTTGTTAAACGTGTGATCTAAAATCCTATGGTGTAACGCAGCCTATTAGTGATGGTAACAGTTATGATTAAAAAGCAAATGGATCAAAGATATGTTCTAGTGTGATTGATTAGAATCTAAATGGATATGTTACACTAAACACGGTCTAAGTTTGATCAGATCTAAGATATTATGTCAAATAAATGTATCACCTTGATTTCTTTGATTAAACCTACACGTCTCAGTGTAGATGTGAAATATTTTAGTAATGCGATTTAGTTTACGCTTGTTAAACCAGTATGACTCTTTACCGCTATCAACTGCTTACAATACGCATCTAGGAGTGTATCGACAAAGAATATTGCTGTTGTTTTATGGATTTGTTTTTGTAGAAATATACACTTGATTCATAGAATGAAATTGTAGGGTACTTCTGACGCACCACTGTCGTCATAAACATGGAAGATGATATCAGTTTCTCCGAAATACAAATCAGGGACTTCCGATGATATCGTAATACGAACCTACTGTTGCTGACTGATACTGATACTTTGATGCGATTTTATTACATTTATCGTCACTGTTACTAAGCATTACAACGAAATGTTAAACGAATAATACCACTTAAAAGATGAAAATAAAGTTTTTGATTTAAACATATTGCATTGCCTCACATTACAGCAATAGGAGTGAACACATGCTATTTTAACATTATCAACGCCATTCCCCTTAACAAATACAAGGTTTTATAGCGATGTTGTATCATATTTATGCAAATACATTTAAATTCCATATAAACGTGATTAATATTATAATAAGCTTGAACTAATGCATTTCATATAATGTTGTATACTAGTAGTAAGATATAATCAATTTCAGAGCAAGTAACAAGTATTATCTAACAATCGCTTTCCATAAAACTTGATTGATAAATAAGTTACATTTTGTGTATTTTATATTATTATGACTTTCAAAATCTTAATCCGTATCAAACATTTTATAAAACACGTAAATATATATACATAGAAATATTATGCATTTTTCCTTTCTTGTTCACACGAAGAATAAAGATAACAGATTTAGTATATTTCAAAGCTTTAAATGACTATATATAGGTTGTGTTTGCTTATGAATGTGTTTTCGTAAATTAATATTTCCATATATTTCTTAAATTTTAGGTATAAAATATAACCGTGAGATAATTTGATATATAAGATCATGACAATATGACTGGATAATGATATGGGCATTGTTTTTAATTAATCTACTCTATTCCATTGATGTGTAATGAATACATTGTAACTTAGAAATAAATGTTGTTCATACTACCTGTACAACAAAAGGACAACTACACTTTCCACGTGCATAGTGTCACAGATTGTTGTGTCTTATTTCTTGTGTTCTGTATAATTAAGTAAATATAGAGTAATGCTAACTGAATATATATTATATTTTATCATGTTATTTATAAATGTCTGAATTTCTTTTAACCATTCCTTACTGATTTGACTCGGCACACCTAGGACATCTTTATTTTAATACTTCAATCAATGAATAATGTTGAATCCCATATAATACGCACAGAAGGTGCTAAAGGTTTCCTTTCCAGACATGAGAAAGCCGTCAGGTCAACATCTGATAAAAAGTAGTAGAGATTTGTCACACATCCTAGGAAATCCTCATATATCTATATAATATTATTTACCTTCTTTTCATTCAAAACACCAAAAAATGCAAAAGCATAATATTTACGAATATTATACAAACCGAGATAGGACACACCAGTAGCTAGGAAATGATTAAGATTACAGATAAAAAGTATACGTCCATAAATTGTTAAATATGCTTAATATTGTCTACATCTGTATTTGATTTTTTTTAAAGATATGCTGTAAAGAAGAAAAAAATACATACATTTTTTAATCTTGCAACTGGCTACGTCATATGAATTCTTTTAGTTAATTTCAGACTGATCATGCGGGGATATAGACTTAAAAAAACCAAAAGGTGGAGTACTTTTACTATGTCCCGTCAGTCAGCAGGCCCCGCCCCTTCAATTTCCCGGGTTGATATGTCTACATGACGAGGAGTGTCAGCACTTGATTAGATAAGTACAATGCGATTCCTACCAGGACGATAGAGATATTTGCTCACCGTTATACAGTAAAGGGGGATCACTGTTTATCGCTGAGCCAATGTTTGAACAACATTCAAACGGAATTGCTTGAACTTTAACCTGAAAGTGATCAATTAGAGTAGAGATTGTCCCAATAGAAATAGAGAAGCGATACCCCTATGGCCCGAGCCGACCGTTAGCTCCGCCCCCTTTTCTCAAAATTGGGCGTACATTGCCTATCCTGTGGTCCTATTGTTGTAACGCCACCGTTAAACTGATATCATTATGAAAAGTATATCACTAGCACAAGTGTTAATATCTTAACATAAAACACGACGTTTCAAACCTTCCGGATTCTCCTACGTGTGATGTAATATGTGGCTGCTAGATATCGGATCATTTACGAGTACAACCTTATATGTTGATATTAATACCGTACCCATTGCTGGTTTGTGAAAGTGTCAGACTTCGCGAAAAATACTGATGACATTTGATATATCATCGCACAGCAGGAAGCCAGAAGATAAATACACTTTATTACAAGATCGACTTGGGTCAACATTATAATCTATTTGTGTTAATTTGACTTGAAACTGTTATCGGAGTTTAACCATCAAACGTTCTATAATCTCTGAAAGCTACCGGGTTCTGCAATGGAAACCATATTCCACAGATAGAAAAACAAACATGACAAACGAGTAACAGTGTGACTGGAAGTGATCGTACGATTTCCCGTGGAAGGTTAGAGCACCAGGAACGATGTTGCATCCTGTCGCTCAACTCCAGCAGCTTATGCCAGGGGGAGTCCCGGCCCTGTATTCTCCATCCCATCTGCATCACCCTGCTGCAGCAGCCGCCATTGCATCATTACACTCACAGAGTGCAAGCCCTCCTTCAGGGCAAACCTCATTTTTGATAGACGATATTCTTGGCAATTCCCAGACCTGTTCTTCTACTTCTGGAGCTGGACTTCACAAACCAACACCAATCAACCCTGCCCATGTGTCCTCGGGGCCTGTGACTGCTTCAAGCTTGTATAAACCTCTGCCAATGTACGATGCCAACACCCTTTTGTCTCAATCCTACTTTACAACGCCAGTGACATATCAAAATACTCTCATGAATCACATGTACACCGTCCCGTATGCCAGACCAGAATACTATCTAGACCGCCATGCATATGCCAAAGGTATGTACACAATATTCCTTCACTACTGTTTAGGCTTTCCTTAAAATTTGGGACCGCTTGAATAGTTACAATAATTTGTTCAACGCATGCCAACCGATTGAGCTCTAACTATATTTAGAAAACGAATATATTTTCAGCAGATAATATATAAACATTAACTGTTAAGAACAGTTCCTTGTCATTTCCAAAATAGATGCGAACGCTGTGTATGAAAGCTAGCAAAAACTAAACTTAACAGCTTCTGTTGTGACAAACTCTTATGAAGACCCATTTAAAGATTGTTTTGTAGAAATATATTTCCTTTCTTCATAAGGTACATCACAAACCATAAAAAACCCACAAAAAATAATGAATGGCTAAGATTATACATTCATATTTTTGAACTACTGATAAAAGATCTACAATAAATGGAAAACATATAATTATATAAAAAGTCCAACCACGTACAAGGAAACAATTCAAATAATGTTATGGTAAGTAAGCCTGAATATACCTAAAACATGATATCAATGTATCATGTTCTGCAGCAGTCTCGTTGTACTGTATATTACTTTGGACTTTTGACCCTCACAAAAGTTTAAAGTTGCCTCCACTAAGACCGTATCGCTTACGAGCGATCTCCTCCCTAGCATTAGTTTAACCAGTTGGTTATAACAAATGGAAGATAATGACCCAGTGTAGAAATAGACATTTAGTAAGTGTCCTGTATATTTAACTGTTTCCGAGTACTTATAGTATATGCATCAATTAACTCCCCCTGGTCGGAAATGCTGTTTGAACTGGTGTGTCATGCGTTGTACTATTAATCATCATCAAGCCCCATCTGTTCATAGGTCAAACTCAAAATCTCTAAATATAGGGATGTAATTCAAAACATATATAACGTCAAATGTATATGGCACTTTCACTGCATTTTGAGGAAGTTTTTTTATTTATTGCAATTAACTCTTTCGATCGATAATTGCACTACATACACGATATATATATCTATGCTTACATCTCCGACAAATATCCCATATTGTATCTAAGATTCCAAAACATGTTTCGTAATTATTGAGTTTAATAAAACAAATATTTTAAACAAATAAATTCATAGCGGAAATAACAATAAATACTAATACAATAATTCACATCAGACGAAAAATGATAAACACACAAAAATTGCATTTTCTACTATACCGTAAAATTGTTTTTTTAAGAGCATAATTATACCAAAATATTGATATCAATTTAAATTAAACATATATCATGCGGAAAAACATCCTTTTAATTGCCATATATTCTGCAAGATCCTGGTTTACATATATTATATCACTCACATTTTCTACATACATAACACTAAATAAATTCAAAAACATAGTATGTACGAACATAACATAAACTGAAACGGGAGTAGAAAATTAATTAACTGCAAATTTTCCCACTTAACTGAAAAAAAAACAATTAAAATGAAAAAAAAAGCAATAAGCAAAACTTAAACAAAAAAAAAAGCTTACTGGTCTGTACAACACAATTATGTCTATAAAACAAAACATATTAGTAGGAAATCCATTTAACAATTTCTGGTGTCCTATCTTTTATCTAAAACAATGATCATTTACCATAAATCGACGTGAAGCAAAAGGATCGTATTTACGGGTACTTCAACGATTTAAAAGATAATATATATTTTACTTCTCCTTCTCCCTTGTTTAATTAAGCAGAGATTTTCTTAAAGATAAATTTTGTTTTATATATTGACTATTTGTATATATAGGGAGACAGTTTTCTATAGATAGATAGACAATTTTCATTTGTCGACCTGATGTGTTTGTAGAAAAAGTCCACGCTGTCGCCCAGTTATGTACCAGACGTAGGGTGCCACTTTTGCGCTGTCAAGTTGTTGTTAATTGATAAATATGTACATAAGCGGTTGTTTAACGGTACATATCCGGGTGGGTCAGTAGTCAGTGTTTGACGTTCAATAAATACGATCACCCTATGTAAACCAGGAGTGTCATTGCTTGATTAAACATTCTTGTTTTTGAATCGTGTCTTTAATAAAATATGCATATGACAAAATAAAATAAAACTATTATTATTGCGGCAAACATACATTATCATGTAGTTAGATACTGATAAACCGAAAATGTCGGTTAATAATACATAGCACACTCCATAAACTCCATAATGTTCGTAATTGTCTGATAAAGTCACCTTATCTAATTAATATAAGAAAAGAAAAATAAATTGTTGATCAGTTATCTTTGTAACAATTACATTATGGATTAACAATGTTTGTTTTGTCGCAACTAACAATTTAGAAATTATAAAACGGTTCTAGTATATGCTTGAATATTTCACTATAAATGAGAAATTGTATAATATAATACATTTTTTTTTAATTTCAAATTCGTTTCGTTTTATTGTAAACAAATTCAACCAATAACACAAAGGTGTTTCTTACAAGATGCAATATTTAGAAAGCTTTGTATTAATGACTTTAGTTAAAGATCCTTAAGTGTTATGCCTCCAGCATCACTGATGAGTGCTAGAAGGTCAAGACAGCATGTACGGTGCGGTTAAATTAATTTTGGGCATATTGTATCTACCAAACTCCAAGGTGCAATTACAGGTGGGTGTGTCTTACGTGCATCTTTAATACGGTTTAGTTTTTAAATTTCTTTAAGTATTTAAACATGTTTATATTTAATAATCAACGCAATCACGTATGGTACGCATAGTGACAGCAAACAAATGGATGTCTGCCTGTAGGTCTCAATCTCATCTAATGACACAACAAGAACCTACATGTAGATATCAGCCCCGTGAATTAAGGATTAATAAATAGGGTCAATTTGTGGGCGTTTGTGTTCAGATGAGGGTGTTTTTTGGAGTGTTCTTAGTGTGAAAACTTGTTTGTAGTCGTTAATCCGTCATGACATTCCTACTCCAGCCCTCACTTCTACCATCTACGTGAAGTGTGTCATTATAGTCTACATCCCATTTGACTTTTGAACTGTAGAAACTTATAGGGAATGTTTTTGCTTTGAAGATATTTTCATGATTCTTTTTATATCAGAGGTTTGATAGACAATTGTTGAATATTTTGCAGACAATATGGCGTTAGAATAGTATGTGTTCTTTTGAATTATACTTAAATCGTACTTGAACCCATTGTTAGGCACACGCATGGACAGGAAATAGAAACATTAATTTGAATCTGTTCAAAAATTACCGCGTTGTTTGTTTAAGGCGGGTCTGTTTGCTAATTAAGTGTAACACGTCTCATTAGACCTATCCTGTATCTTCACAACCTTTTGTTTAAATGGGCCATTATCCGAGCTGGTTTTTATATATGCGTTCAATTCTTGTATCTTTAACAAATCTTGTCTATAAAAATAACACATTTTTATAGAATCATCATTGGCGTTGTAGATATTGTAGGGAACAAGTTATTTAATAATTTATTCCTAATTCATGAATATTTTGCATTGTATAATAAAAGGTTTGGCTATTGATAATACACTATGCATTATTTTTCTATTTTACGGTCATTGTTATGCGATTATGGTTTTGTTATAACTATATAAAGCCATTAATAATGAAAATTGACACTGGGAAGAGTATTCACTCAAATGACCAATTACCGAAAATTAACGATCTATAAAATGGTTCGATTGATGAAATGAAATCATTATTGTGTCGCTCTTACGGTCATTACATTACATGGCAAAATAAATGTTAATTAATATACAAATATTAATCATCAAAACAGCGTTCTTGCTTTTGCGCAGTTAGTGTTTGTCATTCCTTTTAATTATAATAATTATTACATATTAACGGAAAAATGAAAGGATACTTCTACTTCTGTGTTCCGTCTCGGACCGGATTATATATTTGGTGGTGTCGTCACCGAGTGATCCTTGTGATGTATGTAATGTTGTGTACACAATTAGACAGACCCTAAAGATTACCGTGTGAAACATGTATTCTCGTCAAACAAACAGATTAACAAAGGACACTCGTTCTTTATATACAAATCGTCGAGATGTCTTTAACTAATTTATCACAGAGAATGCATACAACGTGTTGTCACCGTTGCAATTTTGACATTGATCAGTTGGACAAAAAACATTGATGAAAGAATTTTAAAGGGATTGAATAAATAGTATATTAATGTAGGTTATGAAACAAGTTTTGACATTATAGTAAATTATCCATTAGAAGAATTCCAAATTGTTTTAGTCTTAATCATAATAGACTGAAATACCACTAGTTGCACCTGTGTTTGCCTAAAACTTAAATATTGTATTCGATACACAAATTTGATGTCAATATTGGCGTGTTAATGACAGTTATTTAAACTAAAACAAATACTTAAATGCATAGATAAAGTAATGAATAAAATGGAGAAAGGGAGATGACATTAATTCAAAACATAAATAATGCGATTTTAAATTTAACATTGTAGATTCGTTTCCGCTCTTACAATGAGCGTCACTGCGGGTCAAGCTGACATTTTCTTTATCGCTTAAAATATTGCAATTGAAAGTAGAATTTGAGATCAAAATCAACAAATTTAAACACCTATCACAGGAAATTCGTCCGTAACGTTGGTAAGATGCTACTGACATAATAGATTCTAAGATGATATTCGATCCATCTCCTCCATAGGGACGCTCCATTTGTGGCTTGACCACCAACCCCGGTATGTTCTCTAACCCCCTTAGCGCCAGTCCGGCGACACTGACCACGTGTCGACGGACGGGCACCTGTCGGTATTGAACAGCACGGGTTTAACACGGAGATACTTTCGTTATTTATGTTACAACTAGCTATAGAACAACAATTAACAAGGATTGTTGGATCATCCCATTGATAGCAACACCTTAACAAACAGGCTTATCGATAGCCAGTCAACAGTCGGCTTCCGATGTCCATTCATCTCTTTGTCACACACCATTGTCTTATCTTCGCGGTTTGACCAATCCACTAGATTGACCACATACAACAACCAGCCAAAGGCGGTAAATAGTCGGGACAAACGAGACCCTCCGTGGAATGTAAACATATCATAGTTATGTAAACGTTTAGCAACAGATGAAAGACTTGGTTGAGGTTTAATGAATGAAAGTTTGGCATATAATATACAAACTGGATAAACCGACAAATCACAAACTTGACGGTACTTATCTAAATACTGGGTTTGTTAAGGCTATATCAGGGGTTACATGCGATAATTACTATAAAATGAGTACTGCTAGATTACGACTATCGGTTATTTTGAGAAGATATGAAAACATGATGGTGTTGTTTAGACAATTGAAATCAAATATTTGCTTATTTCCTGGCAATATCCACACTTAAGAATTACCCCTGTTTCACTTTCATAACAGCACTTATAAGTGAACGTTTTCAGTTTCGGATTTCAATCCTTGAGTAAAGATTTTTCATTATAATGATAAATTGAATAAAGCTTAAAGATACCCTTGCCATTGCGCTGTATATTATAATGTTCCGGACTACTCAATCTGTGGATTTTCATTCTTACACCACTGACGAGTCCTGACTTGATTAGGTTGCCGTATGGTGCAGCAAAAATGTTGCCTTCGTAGACTTTCTATATCGGCAAATGACAGGTGCTTCCATACACATATACAACATACATGTACATGGCCCAGATTTCTCCACTTTACGTAAATTACAGGTTTATAGAATTACTGCTTAGCTAGTCTACCAGGAACGCATTCTCATTAAAAATACTGTCGTTTATTTCAAGACAATGACGCAAACATATCAAATAAATGAAAAAACAGTTAAAATTTCCGTGCAGAAACAAATATCCACATACAGAGTACTATGCAGATACCTGATATACCATTGGCCATGTTAACACTCATTAAGCGTCTCAGTTTCCCCCTTCTCAATAAAACATATCAACAATGGTATATTTGATAAGATATACAATATATCTCGATGATAAGTAAATTTCAGAATAAAAAAAGAACTCGATTCACTTTCATTATTGTTGAAACTAATTCAATGTCATTATTAATCAAATAAAGACTAAATGTACAAAGAATGTAGTTCACATTACCAATATTTCGAACAGTCATTTTTTCCTCTACACTAAGTGCCATATTTTGTTTTTACCAATCAATGTTAAGAAAGATTAATTGATTTTGGAGAAGCCTTTTATCGCGATGCACACAACCCAAATGAGATTTCAGAAGGACTGCTAGAACAGCTTTCTTATTTGATGTCTTTGGTGATGGCAAGCACTCAGTATAGTTTCAAATTATTGTTTCACTCAAGTAGACTTAAGAGTACCTCAGAGGACTATCGCACCCGGCCATACGTCTTTCCTGCGCGCCGGAATTTTACGAGTAAGTGTAGGACTGCGAGATCAATGGGTATATTCGCAATCTGCAAGGCACGCGCTTCCGCCTCGTGGCGTGGTGTCGTGTGGCTTTAAGGGGTAATTATGTTGGCATAGCGAAGAACACGGTCATAGCAGGCATGGCCATCCTTTGTTTCAAACATTTTAGTCTTCACTATATCATTCCTTAGCTTATAAATAATAAACATTGATTAGAAAACATTTGTGAAATTTAAAACATTGAACTGTTTTCCTGCGTTGTCGGTTAGTTATAAAGTAATGTCATTTCGTTTCGGTGCATGACTTGATCCCAATTGGAATATCTCTTACACTTTGTGATGATCAGTCAAGCTTACCGAGCGTTAAGTTGCGGTCCATAGTGGTTACACGGCGGAAGCAAATACAGTCTAAATTAGTCAAATACAGGATGATCAAAATCAGACCCTAAATATTAACCTTGCTAATCGGAAAGGTTTAGGAATAGCCCTCTTTAAAGTTTTTCTGTAATTAGACTGCGCGTCGCCTGTTGAAGTAGTGTTATTGTTTTCCTAATTTATAAGAATAATAGCCAACAATTGAAGAATTCAATTACTCGTTGTTATAGGAGAAACACTTACGCCACCAAGGACCTTTCACTCGTATCAAACAGAATTTGACTGTATCTTGTTGACATTTAAAACATGGCTCATTGTTCTAGATATCAAATTAGGCTTGTCACAATTTTAATTGATGCATTCTCTTTTTGTCCAATTTAAGCTTTGGAAAACATACCAATTATATTTTATAAATATTACACACTTACATGGACTGCCTAGTGTAGGGTGGACGTTTGCTATACGTTACTGAGTGTCATGAAACATCCAACATTTAAAGAAGATTCATTTACTATACGCTTACCTCAAGGAGTGTTTGTTCAAATTCTTATTAGACAAAAGTTCAAGAAACATATACATCAGACTCAATTTACTTGCGAATTATTTGAAGCAAGTGGTATTGAACTCACTCAGAATTGATGATACAAAAGATAATCCCATGTTGATTAAAACACCTGTTTTTATTTCTCCAGGTTTCCCGTGAAAACTTAAAATGAAATATTTTATGTGATAGGGAACCCTCAAGTATTGTACAATATAGGGTGCTCCTAAATACTTTATATTATAGGGAACTCTCAAAAACTGTATAATATAGGGTCCTCCTAAATATTGTATTATATAAGGCACTCAATATTATTATATATTTTAGGGAACTCCTAAATATTGTATATTATATAAGGAACTCCAAAATATTGTTTATTATATAAGGAACTCCCAAATATTGTATAATTTAGGGAACTCACAAATATTTTATAATTTGATAAATATTTAATAGTTCAGGGATTTTTTGTTGTAATGAGTGGTATTCTCTAATAATAACATAATGTTACTTGTTTCATTCAGTATAAAGCACCAAACTGAACTTAGAACGGACCTAAAGGGCTAAGTTCATTATAGCGTGGCCAATTTTAATAGGATATCGTCTCACACTCTCCAGATGTGTTACTGAAGTGGCTAGTAATTATTGTCATCTAAGCTGAAACGAAAGTGCTTAGTGTGTCCGGGAACAATGTGTGCTCTTTAGGTCGTTATTTTGTGTTTCTAAGGTCAACGTATTACTGGAATAACCATGAAATGCAACTTCTGTCTCGTTTTTTATGTTGTTGGTTGATTGTCTTTTTCTCTTTTTCTGTCAACACTGTGTTCCTGTTTTATACTGTTGTACTGACGTTATAAAATTTGGCCTTTTTTTTTTTTTTTTCATTCGTTTATATTTTGATATTTCTTACAGGTGGACCTAAACACTTTATGTGGAACTATCCTTTCATACAAAGACCTATGCACAAGAGGAAAGGAGGACAAGTGCGATTTTCCAACGACCAAACATTAGAACTGGAGAAAAAATTTGAAGCACAGAAATATTTGTCACCACCTGAGCGTAAAAGGCTTGCTAAAGTACTTCAATTAACAGAACGACAGGTAACTTTATTCTTATATTAAGGTACTAAACATGAAATAGTGAGGACAGAAGCTACTGTTTGTTGAATTTTAAGGTAGATATTTTTTATTTAAGAGTACCCTTATACAGTTTAGGAATATGTAGAGAATATATGAATATATATGAAATTTAAGTTTTAGAAGAATATGGTTTTATAAGCCATTAAAATATGAAAAAAAAGGTTGTTAACATGAAATGTTGTACAGTCAGAGAAGAAAAATTCGTGTCTCTGAGCATTAAGTAACTGCGCAATTTTATATAACTGTCAAACGTCAATTCTTATCATTTTGTTTTTCAACGACTCTCGACTTCAGCTCTCAACAGCTAGTTGTGAGATATACGCTATTGTGTGAAAGGCCAGTGTTTAGAATGGGTTGAACAAATGTTCGTGGGCACTATTGGCAGGTGAAAGAAATCTGTCGAATGAATTATCGGTCTTGTCTGATAAATACAGCTATACAACCAGACTTTTCTGTATCAAACAACATATACCTTGCAATATAATGACATTTCTCCCAGGTCGAGCAATACATCGACGCCATGCTAACAAAGTGTATCGATATTGTCACATAATTCAAACTTTACTGAGATCACCGGTTTACATATTGACATATTGAAATGATTTATATTTTGGATTAACTTTAGTATCAACCTTTCATTCTGTTTCTATCTTTGCAGGTGAAAACGTGGTTCCAGAATCGAAGAGCAAAATGGCGCCGATTAAAACAGGTATTTTCACATTTTGATAAAGACGTTTTTATTTTTGTATCAGTTCACACGTGTGTAAGCTTCAACAACGCAAGCAGCACCATGGATGAAAATTAACCTTGAAGCAGTATGTAAAATGTTCAAGAAAATAAACAAAAATCTAAATTAATTTAAAATCTTACCTTCCCATGATAATACCAACATATCGAAGAAAAAATTCATATGACCTTCACTTGACCTACAAATGTCAGATATTGATCTTGACGTTAAAGTCGTTAGCATGCTGCAATTAAGTAGTAGGTCGAATGTTAGACACCCCATGTCACAACAGGGTTTTTGTTCCCTGCTTCTATAAACGACAAGAAAATAGAACTTCTTGAACGTTATGGAATTTGCTTCTTAAGTTTTGCCTCATCCAATCAACATCCATTTACTTTTAATGTTTAAAACAGTTTATTCATCATTGTCCTAGCCATATCATTAACTTCATACCACAAAATGATTCTTAAAGTGAACTATCCATATATCTTTTTTATATAAGATATTGTAATACTTGCGATAGATAGTTCGTTATTGATTTTTTATTTTGGAAATGGTTTTAGAGGTCATACTTAAATCATGTTTCAGGAATCTCCATCAGGGGATAAACAGGAGGATGGTTCCGGTGAAAACAAAGACGAGCACTCCTCGAAGGGTGAGATTGATGATATCGATAGGTGTACTTCTGATGAGGAAGACTTCGATAATGATATCGAGGATTCCGACGACGAAATAGACGTTGGTAAGGAGTGCTTAACCAAATAGATCCGAAACGATCCAAGACATTTCACAAGAAATGAGATATGGTTACCATCATAAGTTTGGTCTGATGTCCGGCATGTTGAACGTGTTACATATATTGGTTTCATGTCTGAAATGTGTAGTGTGTACAGACACGATCAACGCACCAAACCTTTTTGTTGAACACTGAGATAGGATTGGAACGAGTACACAAACTATCATGAGGAATTTCCCAAATCAAATATCAATGGAGGAACAAATATCAAAGCTACTTGCTGGCGTATCCTTATAGGAAACGGCTTTTGATGATCGGTACATGCTAATATTACATTGAGCATATATTGATTAGACATCGGTGGTTGATCATTAGAAGATTCCACTACTAAGGGATGGTTCCAGCACGACATTTATTATATTGTCGTGATCTTGTCAACATATACATTCCATTTAAACGTGCTAAATAGTGATGAGCGTTAAAGTGCTAATTAAGCGAGTCCACTGATTGTTCAAGGATACAGGGAACTGATTGAGTATCACTTGTGTGCACAAAATGACTAAAGCTGCAATTTAAAATACGTGATTCAATTAGAAGTAGACTTGCCGGTATCAATGACACTTTTAGAATAGGATGGACGGAGAAACGCAATATGTACTACTTGTTTTTTTCTCTTCGATATACAAGACATTCCGTTCCGGTCACGTATATTGTTTCTTATCATTGTTTTGATAATCAACAGTGGCAATACAGTGACCTTCAGAAACAAGACAGGCCATCAAGATGCAATTGTCATAACATCAAGAACCTCATTGGACTAGAAATTGTCATAATTATTTACATGTATAATACAATATATTTATATAAATGTTTTATTTAAACATATTCAATTAATGAGAATGTCTGCTGATGAGTGGAAATTGATGAATGCATGTATGAGAAATAAAATGTTAACATAACATGTTTTGTGTTTCTTCTTATTTATGTATAATATGGTATAGTTGTACGCAAATTGTGTATGTTAACGAGTTACACGAGTTACTTATTATTCAGAAAAAGCAAATCGAAAGCTATTTGTATTTTGTTTTTTATCATTCCATAACCATTCTATATTGAAAATAAAAGAAAGAATCTTCAAATCCTTTGAAGGATGACACTCTTTCGTGTTTTAGCTCGAACTGTGTATAAGCTGTCAACAAAATTATTTTTTGTGTCACAGTTAAGTTGGGAGCAAACTTAACATGGTATCTAGTGCAGTGCACACGTAGTGAACAAGGAAGTGCACTTGACAAAACATTGAAATTCACTCCAGTTTACTTCAGTGTTAACTCCAGTTCACTTCAGTGTTAACTCCAATGCACAACGATGTGGAATCTAGTGCACTGCATGCAGTGTTTACCAAAGTTTAAAAGACTGAAGTACATATTTCAATAATTGTTTATAATGAAATGGGTCCGTTGTAATCTGAAAAAGAAAGAAAGAGAATGGAAAGAAACATTCAACTGAATACTTCATAATATCGATCTACATATTTATTTTTATTTTTTGATTCCATAAAATTTCAACTGAACATATACACTATACAGGGACCGCAGAACCAAATGATTTTCCATAGACGATAGTGTTCACGTTTACCATTGTCCTGGTTAAATGGGGTTAACAACACTGGTTTACCTGCCCTCATTTTGAAGAATATCATCTCAAACAACTGTAAATAAAATATTTAAATTAAACATTCTGCCAATTTGAACTTTTTTATATGGGGGCCGCCATCTTGTATTGAATTCGGCACCAAAAATTTACAACAGATTACACACTTAATAAACTAACCCAGACAAATGCAGACTTCAAAAAAAAAAAAAAAAAAAAAAAAAAAAATATGCATATTACATCTATATCTATTGTCAACCCACACATAAAACTTTTGAAACTTCTGCCACCTAAATATTCAAGCAGCAGGCCCCGAGGCATTCACCTTCCTATTAAATCTTCTGCCCAAAAGGGAGAAGCCCACAATCTATTTTTGATTTGGTTCCGTGGTCCCTACATGTCTAATTTGTCCCCCGCACAAACATAGCAGGTATATACAGCTGGCCAGGTTGTACAGTAATAAATTGCCACTTGTTAAAATGATGACAAAATTCATGGTTGCAGGGTGCAAAGTAGGTAAATTTATATACATGTACATAAATTAAATAAGTTGATCGATTACTGATAAATAATCAAATCAATTAAATTTCACAGGGATCCTCAAGTTTTAATCATACAGTTACAACTTGCCTTCAGTGGTAGATTTAAATATGGTGGCTAGGGTAATGTAACCACCCCCTGACACATATTTTTCCTTTCAATATGATATCTACCTGATAATATAAGGGCAATGACCACCCACTGACCATTCACCTATGGTCAGTGTGAAGACAATTAATCCTGTCAATTAGTTCAGCCCATTGTCTGTCCAGTAGATACACAGGTAAATCATTACAAGCTTACAGGTAAGATACTGTGGCTGTCCCTTTGTCAGGAAATGACATCCTCAGGCACAATTCTATTTCAAAACAGTGACTTTGACTCTATAGTAGTGTTTAACACTACCTTATCCCCATAAATGGTTAACAATCTGGGTATTACATAGATAATCGACATCATTTGATAACACACCCCAGCATCGATTAATGGGTCACTGACATGACTGAGCATTTTGTACATCTGTACGCTCAGTGGTTTTGCCCCCTGGGTTCTGATCAGGATGTAAGTGATGTTATTTGACATCGGACCCTTTGACTTGTGTAATACACACACCTCAGGGCATTTCAACCCCAGTTTCTCCGTGCTAGCAACAGTGTCAGACAGGTTAAATTTACCTGTAGAAAAGTCGATTAGGATACCTGCATGTCTAATTGTTTCTAAATAAATATTTCGCTGGAATTCAGATCTGCATTCCTGTAACTACAGTAAGTTATTATCCATCATGAATAAGACAATATATATATTTAGTACATAGTTACCGACATGAGCTTTTCATTTTTACAAATGAATAAACAGAAAATGATATATGATTCACTATCATGTACTAATTAATATTACGATAAATTTATATATTTTATTTAAAAGTAATACTGTTATAACTATAATTAACTGTAGTTAACAACAAGGATTTGAACACCAGTGCACAAGCTAGTGAAATGAAGTTAACCTATCTTGTTAACTCCAGTGCACTAGGTTACCAATTTAAGTTTGCTCCCAACTGTACGTTATGGGCTTTTTTGTCGTGCGTGCTAATACCCACAAAGACGCTTAGACGGCTTCATATATAATTAATCGAAACCACCAAATTATTTGATAAGAAAATGTCAATATAAATGCAAATATTAAATGGAGCTACTGAAATTATAAATAAGGTTACGCATGTAATACTTATTGTCATTTTTGGGGGAAATGTTAGATACGTTTCTTCCGTCTACAGCAAAAATTTGATAATACAGCTGTCTCGAAATTACCCATAATGCTGTAAACATTCCATTTTGCTAATATTTTCTGAATTTTGATTCACCTCTCGATAAAATATTTTAGCCAATTTTTTTAAAATCATTTAACCATGCTTTTTGTCGTTGATTTACAAAACAGTCCGAATATCATAATAACATGAATATGTATACATGTTTGCATTTCTATAATGCATTATTCTAATTTCTTGATATTGCTTGGTCGCCTCAGTGGCGAAGTTGGGGTGGGTTTGGTAGTGGGAGTGCCCTCCCCCCCCCCCCCCCCCCCCCCCCCTCCGATATTTCTTTTACTATTAGATGGCAAACGGTGGCATTTTAGACCATTTACGTACACGCAAGAGCTTTTTGCCTCTCTATGTATACGTGGGGTTATAAATAGGTTCTAAAATATATAACAACACAAACAAAACGTTCTTTACGTTCTTTCTGTTTCATAGTCTTTATTTTTGGCGATACATGCCTTGTTCCCAGGAATCATATTGCCCTAGTTGTTTTACCCCGATGAAAATAAATACAAACCCTACGAGGAATACAAAAAAAATAGAAATTATTGAAATATGAACTAGGTGAAAATACCATTTAACGATCTAACACTCATGTACACGAATATACTAGCATCTTGCAATTGCGCTTGGAATTGCACTAGACAGAGACATCTTTCTTTTTATTTTCTGAATAACAACACCAATAAATTTCTAATCTGAAACATCTGAAAGGACTTTATCATTCCAGAGGACCACTTTTTTTTGTTAAAACTTTCTTTTTTGACTCAATATGCAAGTAAAGTCCGGCTTGATTAAAGAAGGGAAAATATGTATGGCCAGGTTCATAGGATATAATTAATGAGTTGGTCATGAGATGGACTCGATCAATGCACCCTAAAGCAGCACGTGTTTAAATTTCATGAACTTAATTCATCAACACTTGAATATGAATATAACAATGTTTATTTGTAGAAAACAGGAGAATGTCCCAATGTTTATAAAACGCGTGTTTTAACTCATAATCCCTGAAAACGGGGGGAAATATGAACAAAAACCGAATTTGCTTTAAGACCATAAATCCACAGCCAGGATAATAAGACCAAGTGTTTCAAAGGAGCAAGTGCATCGTCATAATTAATTGACAAAAACCGTCACGAAAAGCCAAATAATGTCATGTGCTTAAAGACAGAACCAGGGCAGCGAAAACGAAACCACAAGGATAGCTTACAGTAACGAGCAAACTTTTAATATTGATATCGCACAATGAAATTATATATTTCCAAATAATACTTCAGAAACGCACATAAAACTTGCCCATAGTCATTACATGTATCAACCAGCATCTCTCAAAACTGTGACATGTTACCTTTTGTAACCATTAGACGAATTCCAAGCATTGAAATAGGATGGAAACCAGTTCAACTTATTGTTAATCTCTGAGACTAGTAGTGTTTATCTTTATTGCAATTGATAATGGAGGCAATCTGTGACTGGTACAATCTCTATATACCCTAAAGACATGCTAACAGGAAGGTATTGTGCACGTTTTTGCACTCAATATTTTCTAATGGTGTATTATCTTAAGTGGCAAGGGGATGAGCACTTCAAGAGACGAGCACGTTGTGTGTTCGGTTTGTTACTTCTCTATCTAGTTCAGCAATAATTGTTTCTGAGATATGAGTTTTTAATCAATTATAACATCAGTGCATTGTATCTTTATGCATATAAGATTATGTGATTCGGTTAAGGAAGTTATGAATTGTTTGATAAACCAGTACTAGAACATAGATTGTTTCTCATTGTGTAAGTGATTATTCTCCTAAATAATAATTGAATACACATTAAATGTCCTTATTGAGCCACGGGATTCACACTTAGAGACACCCGACAAGATTTCACGGATAACTGTATGACTGTGTTGTCTTATTCTGTATGAGGAAGTCTTCCTGTTTATAATCCTTTCCTCTAGTGTTTCCTTCAGGGGTGAACAAGATGGTTTTAATCTGTAAGAAAACAATATACATTTCTTGTACCAGTTTTTCAGGATTTCAAACAGACATTCATGAAGTTTTGCATGGGTTTGCATGGGCATCTCAGTTAGATATGCATAAGGTCTCTAGGGGATTGAATGGAGGTTAAGAAGGTTAAGTTTGCCTTGGGCTTTAACAAATGTTAAAATGATCTCCCATGAGTTCGTAAAGATGTGCATTATATTTGTTTTAGGTTTGTACAGACATCGACAAGCAAAGTGTACAACCGTTCAAAAGGTTTTGCATGGATTTGCAAAGCCTCCACACGGATTTTCACAATGGCTTACAGCCATTCAAAATATTATCAAAAAAAGAAAGAGGAACATATTTAACTGGAATCAGCAGACAACTAAGAAACAGATAACTAGAGACCATAGAGAAACACATTGAACTGGATTTCAATAAATATTTATACATTATAATTCCTTCCTATAAA